TCGGATTTTATGAAATATCCCCACATTGGCCGCCTCCTGAGCCGCCTTGACTCTCAGGGAATTCGTCTGTAATGGTTTATCCCGAAAGCCGTCTACGTTCAAGGCGTACACAAGAGTCACAAAGAGCGACCAGATGTCCAGCTTTGACGTCTGATTTTCAGGATTAGTAGCCAGCTCAGGAGCCATAAATATTGGCGATCCAACCCCCGTTCGAGCGTCGGCAATCATGTTAGAAAGGCCGAAGTCTGCGAGTTGGTACTTATAGCCGCCAGTCGGTAAAAGTGTGTAAAGGATGTTCTCGGGCTTGACGTCTCGGTGGATGATGCCTTTGCACGCGAGGTAGTCGAGCGCCTGAAGCATGTCGCGAAGGAGATCATCACTTAAAGGTGGTTCTCTTATATAGAGATTACCGCGAATCAAGTCCTCGACGTTCCCAGCCTTGAGTTCCATGATGATATAAAGCTGATTCTCTATCCACTGTGCCGACAGGTATTCGATGATGTTCGCCTGGTGGTATTAGCTACTTATCAAGGTCTGCGACATCGGATATTACCAACATGGGAAATACGAGACAGATTTTCCACTTCTCGCTTTAACATCTTCCAATCCTGGGACAAAAGACTAGGCCGGTTCACCACTTTCACCGCCAGATACTCGCCAGAATCGACGTTCGCGGCCTTGAAGACTGTACCGTACGAACCTTTCCCCAAGGGCTCTATCTCAGAGAACCTCAGGGTCTCCGCATTGCCAGGAGTGTGGATACGGGTGGCACGCTGGGACGGTACGTCAGTCGGGGGCTGTTCTAGGACCGTCCGGGCCTGACGCGGATTGAGCTCTCGATAATCCAGGTTCATGTTGGCCTTGAGGTCATCGCGTTTATGCCAAACTATTTGGAATTGGTAGAGATCACACGCCACGCCACCAAACCCAAATATCAGATTGACCTTCTCATGCACGACGACCCGACGGTGAGGGCGCCACAGCTCGAATGGCACGGCTGTGTCACCAAAGAACTGTGTCGATCTGTTGCTCGACCGATCCTGGAGCATGATCTGCTTCGTCTTCTCGTGCATTTCAAAAGAGCATTGGATACGCGAAACGCTCGACCCCTCAACTAGGATATCACCGCAGCGCCCTATGGTGGCCAGTGTGTAGCGTGACTTGGATCCGATATGGAGGCCGATGTCGAGTCCATGCAGGATATTTTTGTCTTGCATTGGGTCCCGGAAAACCGATACATTGTGAATGTTATCGGGATGGTTGAGGACCGCATAAGCTCGTTTGTTAAGAGCTACTAGTGAAAAGAAAGCAAGAGGATGGGGCCTGTCGCGCGGCATGATGGAGAGTTATATCCAGTGTCTGCGATGATGGTCTGAAAATAGTTCACAAAAAGATAAAGATGGACGATAGGGGATGTATCACGGCCTGAACTGACAAAAGAGAAACGCAACCGAGAGGGTTGGGACTCTGCTAAGTAGTAACATCGTGTACGGTTCGGTACTTTACTGAAACCCAGCCTTCGGTCTTTTCTCAAAGGTGCTGGAGCTTGCAGTACCTTGACGAGAACGAGTGGACGGGAGCTCTCGGCTCTGGTGGTGGGAGAGAGCCAGAATCATTGAGTCAAAAGTGTCATATTGGGTTGGGGCCGGATATGGCGCTTTCGGCAGCAGCTCTGCTTTGTTGTGTTGAGCCACTTGATTTGGGTCAACCAATCAGCGATTGAGTCCAGCGCCCAGCTAACACATCTGTCACCAAACAAGGCTCGTTGCTTTTTCTTTCAACTTCTACTCCTTTCAACTTCTGCTCCTCCCAACTTCTGCTCCTCCCATCAATATTCCGAAAACCCTCGTACGCTCATCTTGTTCACCCAAGTTGGTGTCCGCACCATCATCGCAGAGATGGCCTTCTCTTTTGATAATTCTCACCGCCGCGTGTTACCGCAACTTATCGAAGCGCTTTCACGATTAGAAGCAGAACCAGATCAGCTCGCTCACGAGATGGATCATCGCTTCAACGAACCTCCTCCGCCGTACTCAGAGTCTGGCGAGACCACGCAGCCGCCGACACCACCACCTCCCGGGCCTCCCGTTGTTGACAAGTGGTATCAAAGATGCCTACGAAAGCAAGCTCGCGATAAATCGGGGCCATACGGCCAATTCGAAAGCCAGACCAAGCGAGAGCGTTTGCGGCTTATCGATCAACTCAGTTCGGGATGTCGCCGAAGGCAGACACTACCGTTTGATTCAAGTCTAGACCTTCAAGCCAACGCTGAAAATAATGTTCGGAGTCGCTGGGTGGAACAAGGAATCTGGGGGGAGGAATGGGGTCCGCCCTGGCCAAAGGGCAGTAATCCGATGGACAGTCGGCACTGGGTATTCAAAGGGAAGGCACCATTTCATAGAGCTACGGCGACTTCTCACTGGGGACACGAGGAGAATGAGCCGGAGCCGGAACCAGAGCCGGAACCAGAGCCAGAGCCACAATCTGAACAGGAACAGGAACAGGAACAGCGACCTTTCTTCGGCACCTTCGGCATCTTCAGACTTCAGGCTAAGCAACTAGAACAAACAAAGCCTTCTGAGCGAGTGATCGGCTACGAACAAACACCACTCGGACCGCTCCCCATATACCATGTCCCAAACCCCACAGTACGCAATCCCGAAGCATCACGCCCTTTCCATCAATTCCTGTATCAGATCTCCCCAGAACGCGACTGGATCAGAGATGAGGTCGAGTTCGTCACCCCCGGTAGGGTTGTCGACCTCGACACCATGGCATACGAAAGTGTCAAGAAGAACTGGATCGAAGATGGGATTTGGAATCCGAAATGGGGTGAGCTGCCAGGAATGACGTGGTTCCACGAGGAACCCGAGGAAGACGAAGAGGTAGATGCTCCTAATGCTCCTGGCGATGCAGATAGACAGCTCCCCGATGCCGGCGACGATAGACAACAATCCGGGGCCCGACAATATGTCTCTATTGGTTTCGGTAACGCGCCACTATCCGAAGCCAACAATGATCATGCCAACAATAACTCACCTCCCGGAGCTGGAGAGGCTGGAGAGGCTGATGCCAGGGAGAGGCGAACGGAAAGAGGGAAGAGGAAGACACCAGATCGCCAGCCTGCGGCCGTAAATGGTGTACGGCACGCTGAAGAGGTTCCCAATCAGTCTATTCGAAGCCCGAACTCATCCTTAGCAGAGAATCGCCGATCGACAAAGAATGATCTCCGTAAAAGCAGTGGCGGGCGAATCGCAAAGCCAGCACCGAAGAGACAACGCGGTGGCCTGAGAGGTCTGTCTCGACGTCATGCGTCATTTGTGGAAGCCGACCAGGGTCTAGACACCCCCGGGTCTAATGAACTTGGGAATAGCACACCACCTAAACTCCGCAAGAAACAATCCAATAATCATGGGGAGGGAGTATTCCACGAAGATGTGGCGGCTCCATCTTCGCCGCAATCAAGACTCGCGCGTAGGCGCAAAGTCAAGTCGATAACCACAGATACAACCGAAGAGATCGAAGCTCCAAAGCTTCGTCGCAGCAGCCGCATAGCCAAACGAGAACAGGTCAAACAAGAGGACACAGCCAACAGGCCTGCTGCAGCCCTTGAGCTGTCAGACTCAGTCACAAGACATTCGAGGAAAGTCGCGCCAGACAAGCGTAAGAAGTCTAGAACGATGGTGATTAGGGCAAATAGTGTTGTTGCCTCGGCAAGAGGAGCACAGGTCTCAAGACCCGTGCCCTCAAAGGACTCCAAGCCGCAAAGTGTAGTCAAGAAGAGGAGCCGGCCACGAAAGACATGATATGATGAAAGCGTTGAACCATGGAAAGACGAACATTCATATTGTTATCAGATTGTTGGATCACATGACATCCACTACCTGCACCGCCTACCTTACCTTAGCTACTCTCTTTACTGTACACCTACTTAGATACTTACACAACATACTTTGCTTCACCACCCAGGACTGACAGGCTATTCAGCATCATCTTGATATTGTGTGACATGTTGATGGAGGTCTTTGTAGATTGACGCGTATTTGTCCAGGGAGGGGAAGGACTTGTTGAAGATATCGCGCCACTTGCCAATGTCAAGCGGGGGAGAAACTTGGGTGTCGGAATGGATCTCCATGGTTGGCTTGAGAGGTACTTTCTTGCAGGAGATTGGGAATACGGTGTCTTCTTTGCTGGCAGTAGGAGACGAGGTGGGTGGCCGAAAGGTCCCGAGAGAAAGTCTCCCTAAATGCTTCTGATTTGGGCACTTAAATGTCTTGAACGGGAAGCTGATAGATACCTCGGCGGACTTCTGTCAAGTGAAGCTCGCGTACATGGAGCGTGTTCCGTTCTCCACGCCACTGTCGGGGAAACGGTAGACTACCTACCATGAACTCTCCCCTGCCTAGGATAATAAGACAATCAACTGGGGTAACTACACTAAAATGATCGACCGCGATGCGCCCCACTGTTATCCGGCCCCACTGTTATCCGATCCCCCTGCTTCGAGACCCTCTGTCGGTCTCCCCCGGCCCCGCCGCTCGCTTCGCTACGGCAGCTAGCTGCCTTGGTAGAAACGACCACCACCACGAATTTTCCAGGTCTACAAACTGCCCTAGGAACCTAACCCAAGATGGATGCCTACCTACATAGCTATAAGGTCATAGCTATCTCGACAGCTACCTTGAGACGGCAATACACCCTGAAGGCAACCGTGTCAGAGTCTGAAAAGGCAGTCCTTATGTAACACCTGGTGCACACGCTCACTTACCGATTCGGCGTCTGTCTGTGACTACCTGATCACGGAACTCCGATATGTCAGGCTTAGATAGACTACGCTAGTGAATATATACAATGAGAGTCGTCCACCAACGTGTTATAAGTAGCCATTGAAGCCGTGAGCTGTCCTCTTTTTGCATCGCACGCTGGCTATCGTATCCTGTGAAGCCGGAAATCTCCAAAAGTCTTATCTTTGCTTGCTGGACTTCACACTGTCCTGCACCATGGCCGCCACCCAGGGAACTCTCACCGTCTTCGAGCGAGAGTCATGGTCATCTCACGAGCGCCCGTATGAACTCCTCTTCCAACCGCCGAATGCCGACTTGCCAGTGTGCAACTACAGTGTAGTGCAGGTGCCCAACGTGCCTATCTATGCTCTGCGGCCATTCAAGGACAATCTCTCTCGAGGCCGGGAGGGCTTCTTGATTGCCGACCTCGAGACGGAAATGGAGTATGAGGACTACTTCGATCCGGAAAAACTAAAGTCCAAATACATGCCCGAGATCAAGGCTTTGCTAAAGGAACAGTAACCCTAACCTCAACCCGATAGAACATGACCTAGGACACAAGGGGAACTTGGGTTGACACTCGAGGTCGAGGTCAAGGTCGAGGTCAAGGTCGAGGTCAAGGCCGAGGTCAAGGCCGAGTCCTTCGAGAAGGAGAAAGGGGCAAGGTGGAAGGGGGGACAAGGAAAGAAAAGGAATCACGTGCGTGTCTTTGCACGTGAAAGTGCGCACGCACCATTGACGACTGAGCGCACACATCACGTCACGTCACTCATCGTCGACGTCGTCGTCGTCGTCGTCGCCAACAACAACAACAAAAAAACGAAATCATCACACATACTCCATCAAACACAAAGTGAAGCCAACACACCATGTTGAATCCGAGTCCGAGTCCAATGCGACCGGCAGACAAAGATGCAGATGCAGATGCAGATGGTCCGGCTCACGCTCGTGACAGCCGCCATTCTCTACGGTTCAGTCGGACCGGGGAAGACCAAGAGGGCGCCGCCACCTGTGCTGCTTGGCCAGCAAACATCTGCACCGTTTTAGAAGTCATCCAGAAGCACCACCAGCATCATCATATAAAGCGTAGCAGCAATAGTAGCGCCCCCGACGATGAGGACCAGGACAAGGCCGACGACTATGAGGCTGAATTCTGCACCAAAGCACGACTGCCTCTCGATCCAGCAGAGTACGAGCTACTGATGCAGGTGCTGCATTTGAGCCCTACTGCTATCGAGGACCTTAGGTTACTGGTGGGGGAGGGGGAGGAGAAGGAGGGGGAGGCGGCTCTTCTCGCAGCTACAGCCACCACGCCAGGTAAGTTGAGGTCTGCTGTCTGTCCTCTGCTTGCCATTTTTTTCTACGCTGCTGCCTGTGCCTGAGGCGTCGTCGACCTGCCTGCTCTTATCTTTTCCCACAGTCTATCTACCTACCTCCCCTAGATTTGGCACTCGACATCATATCACGTGAACATGAGCATGGATGACCACCTTGAGAAAACCAGATCCGGACAAATGAAAGAGGTTAGATCAATTGCTGACATTGCTTCACAGCTACAACTCTAGTCAAGGCTTGCTCATCACCTGCAACCCAACAACATCATCATCTTGCTGCTCAACCCATCGCATCACACTCGCTCGACGACGTTCAAGGACAAGGACAGGGCGACCACAGGCAAGGCAGTGTGCCCACTGCAGATGCAGAATACCTTGCTACCCTCGGCCGCCATATGCTTCAGTTTATGCGCCCTCTCTACTACAACCGCCGCCTATCCACACTGACCATAACTCACACAACCGAGACACAATTCCATTATTACTTAAAGAACTACCTTGGCGAGCTTCTCGCCACACGTCTGCAGGATGCCTTCTCCCACTAGTATAGGGAGCAGCTACATCAGCAACAGAAGCCACAACAGAGCGGCTATAACGAGAAGCTAGAGCTAGACCCACACAGCATCATACGTATGACTGAGGAGTGGATCCCTGACGGCAGTGCAAAGCCCAACGTGCAAGTTGGATGGTTCTGGCAGGCACCAAAACCTCTGGTTCTGGAGGTAGACTTCTCGAACAAGATAGAGCTAGACCAGGCAAAAGGTCAGTCAGTGTAGTGTGGCATCCGTGTTTCTAAACTGTTCGCCACCTTTTTGGCACCAACACTTTTGATTCCATCCCGATCCGATCTCCACCATCCATCAAACCCTTCCGCTAACATATATCAATGCAAAATGCAGATTACATCCTCGGAACGAATGGCCGGGTCCGTATCGTCATCATCGTCAATTGCGCCTACCACAACCTCCGGGAACGGCTACGCCTACTTACCAGCAGCGGCATCAAGAAGGACACCAATAAGCCCTACTTCAAAGATCTCACCGTGACGATCCTACGTGCTGCTACCGTTAAAGCAGCCACCGAGGTCAAAAAGCCTTACCCCTCTAACAACTCAAAACCTCAGGTCCATGACAATACCAGTGGCAATACCCAAGCCCATCTCGAAGCGGTCTTATCAGCCCACCAGGTCCCTATCACACCCACGTCGACCTCTACCGCCTGCCTCGGCCTGACCCTCTACGACTTCGACGAGAGTCTCCCACGCCATATCCCCGTACATGTTCCCCTTGCCGACATCTACGTTCTCGCGGAGCAGGCTGCGGCTCATCAGGACCTCGACGATGCCTACAAGGCTCTTGCCAAGGCAAAATCGGCGCACCACGGCAACGGGAACGAGAGCGGCAAACATGAAGCGGCTGCTGCTGTTGTGCAACAGAAGAGGGCCGCGCTGCAGACTGTGTCGAAGGCTATGGTTGCCGTCATGCACATGCACAAGCAGAAGAGAAGAGCGGACAGCGGTGCGTCCGTCAGCCGCGGCCTCGGTCTTCACGATGGCGGGAAGAGGTTCTACAGCGTGCGGGCGGCGATGTCGGGTGGCACCACGCGGCTGCTGCCACCGCCCATTGCGTACGGTCCCTGCCTTGTTCGCCCTGGTCCTAGTCCTAGTCCTATTAATCGTCACGGCGCTGTGGCGCGACACCTTGCAGGATGGCTGAGCGGCTTGGTGTTTCGGCGGCGTTTTTGATAGATGGGGGGAGAACATGGATGGATTGGTGGATCAAGGATCTGGATGAAAGAACGTTCCTCTGACCTGAGCGGCCGGAGGGATGGAATCGAGGAGAGGCGTCTAGAGCTATTCACCGACATACAGGCCTTCCTTCCAGCCGTCAACCTTCATCACCGCCGTGGTGCAAATATGAGTTGTATCTATTCTAGGTTCGACTGATTGTTCTAGAGTAGTCAACTCCGTGATTCCACGTCTGCCTGGACTTTACGGTCCTTCCTCACCCAGTGCAACATGTGCTCTCCACGACCCTTTCTGTAAGCCCAGACCTTTGAAGCAAGCAAGCAAGCAAGCAAGCGTTCATCCATACATGACACCGAACAGTGCGTTGGTCTTATCGCCGTCTTCATACTTCTTAGGGGTGATCTTGGAGACCCTGCTCCAAGAAGATAAGATGTCTGGCAACACGTCCGTCCGTCCGTCCGTCCGTCATTCCACTCCCGGTGGAAATTGAAATGAACAAGCTCCATCCATCTAGTCTTTTCTTTCTTTCAATTAATCAGGGGCAACCCACCCCGCCATGGAGACGAGTGCAACGCTTCGTCAACACGACGCGCCAGTTATGGTTAGCAATGATCCCTTGACTCTCCCAAATTGGCGACGAGTTACCAATAATATATGCTCCATACGGTGGCTGGTATTGCACGCATTGCTGCTTTGCTCGGCGCTTTAGGTGACATTGCAATGGATATCTACAGCATTGTAGATGACCCGAATAATGCGCCACTCGCCATTCTCTCGTTTACCACATGTCAATTAGCTATTATGGATCTTGCACAGGTAGCTAAGGCGGCTTAAGGCTAAGAGGGGAATGGCGGCGGATGATGTCAAGAAGTTGGGTGGAGGAGTCTCCGACAAGGTCGCCAAGCTGAACAGAGTCAAGAACGCATGCCCATTGAAAAGGAGGGGCCTCGCTGGTATACAGCCTGTGGGGGCTTGACCGATGACAAGTCTGCACGGCCAGTCTCTTCCAGGCCATCTCATTGGGCTATAGGGGCTGAATAGATATTCCGCTGCGGAACGGAGAGGGCAGTGTTACGACGTAGTATCTAGCAAAAGATCTCTGCATAGGGCCACTTTTCCGCAACAAGAATCACAGCCTCCAAGATGTATAACTAGAAAGAAAGATTCAATAGTCTCGTTTTCTTAATGTCATTGGGCATAACGGAAAGCCGAAGAAGACGGATGACACGGACACACAAACGCACACACTGGGAGGGGGTAGACACGCAAAATTTAGTTGATTATTGTGGGCGACTGTGGCGGATGATTGTGGTGAACGACTGTGCAGACGGCTGCGGTGGACGACTTGTGGCGGGGTGGCTTGTGGTAGACAACTGACTAGTCTCGGCTTTCGTCCGAGCCGGATCTGGAACTTAGTTGCATCGCTCTAGGTGGAATGCCGAGATTCAGCCTTTGTATCGATCGACATGGCGATATAAAGCGCGAACAAGAAGTCGAGAGTCGGCCTTGCTAAGGCACAGGCGGTCGGTTCGACGAGGACATTGCTGCGAGGAGCCAGCGAGTGCTGTGGAAAAAAAAGGGGGCTATGGAACAAGACGTGGGTTGCATGCACCCCGTGCTGGGGATGGTTGAGACAGCGTTTTGATAGAATGATTCCAAACGGTCTACACACTTGAGATTCTGGCGTCCAGCCGGCATCACGGCTCTCCTGATTCTTCCCGACGGAGGCTGGTCGAGAGGAAAAGAGGTAGATCAAATGGGTCGAAGGGGGGCACCCGGGGATAGACCCAAGTGTGATCGTCCGACAAGCTTTGTCCATGTAGGTGCCTCAAGTGCTTGGATGGATGGCGGCGATGGGGCAGCAGAGCAGACCCGGTGTTCTATATCCTCAAGGGTGTCAGTGCCGGGCTCCTCTTAGGAAGGAATGGGTGAGGTATAGATTGTTACCTTTTGTGGTGGTTTCCTCACTGCAACTCGCGGGTCGGAGATGTGTATGTATAGATGGATTGCCACGGGTTTGGAGGGAAGAAAATCTCTCTGGAACAGAGGTGGCGGATCCCGGATGGACTGGTGGACGACAAACGTGCTAGGATATTGAGCAAAGCCAGGACGATACTAAGCCGGTCGAGGCTGGCGGCGCTTGCGTGGCTGAATGGGAGCTGGTCGATACACCATTGGGTTGGGTTGATTATGCAGCTCGTTGAACTGGCGGTGGGATTACCGCAGGGCCTCGGGGGAGGGTGAAGGGGTTTGGGTTTGATACCATCGGGCCGGCGGCGCTCACCGAAGAACACGTTCCTAGGGTGCCGATACCGGTAGAAGTGAATACGGAACGAAGATCCGGCGTGAGTCCTGAGGTATGGAGCAGGTTCGCTCAAGAGACGAAGCCAGGAGGGGGTCAAGGTCAATAATTTTTTAAGATTTGGGGACGTAAATAGGCTTTCAGTACGAGAAGCACACACAAGAGAACACGAGACACAATAAGGCCGAGAGCATGAAAGTCGAAACGGAATCACTTGCAAAGATGGGTTGGGAACGACAAGGTTCTGGCCCCCATCTCGCCTTAGCTTTTTCGTCTTGTGTTTCTAAGGAGGCACCACCACGTGGCCGCCCATGCTAACCGTGGGGAGAACACACCATAGTGCGGCCGACCAATGACACTCTAGCTCTTTGATGCGCTCTTTGTCACGAGGGTCTCTATAAGGGATTGTCCCAAGTGCTACTGGTAGTTGTGCCAGACGGTTGACATGTTAGTTCCCTGTCTTTGTTCTTGGTTTTGGTTTCCAGTGTTACACAAAGACCATAGAGAAAGAAGCTAAAGCGTTGTTGTACTGCAACAATATTAAATCAAGCTCATTCAGATAATGATATCACAGCAGTCCAACTTCTTTGTCTTTAGAGTCGAAAAAACAACTATTTAAGTTTAATATATCCATCATCCAGCAATGAACTCTATCAAGCTTCAACACATACTCAAGAGCACGCACATACTCCAGCACGCACATACTCGAGCATACACATACTCCAGCACGCAGATACTCCAGCACGCACATACTCCAGCATACACATACTCAGGATTATATACAGCCCTTCCAAAATGTCACAAAGCCAGCGGTATATCAGCCACTTCAGCCGTTTTATGGAGGCACGAAAGGAAAAGCAGATTCTCCAGGAGAAAATGGAACACATTATCATGGATGGTGCGATGGAGTTTCTTGACTGTTATGAAGTCTTGGATATCCCAATTGATGCAGATGCACAGACAATTCTCGATGCCCATGGGACTCTTATGACGCGTCTTGATTCTGCCCCCCCGGATTCCGGAGAAGCGCCTATAGCACGTGCGATAGTCACGGCAGCCTACGCCATCATGAGCAACCCACTTGCACGAATTGAATACGATAAGCGGAGAAATTCGGTAATCGAGGCGATCCTGGCCGATCGTAGAGCCGAAGAGAATAGAGATCGCTTCATAGAGGAGGTGAGGGATTTTGTTGTTAATAAAGACGTGACGAGGGCCCAGCGCATCATGTCAGATAAGCATGCTAAGATAATGGCGGAGTACAATGAAGCAATAGCGACAGCCGATAAAGACAGAGAAGCGAGGAAAGCGCAACAAGCGATAATTGAGGAAAGAGCGAGAAAAGCGAGAGAAGCGAAAGAAGCGTCAGGGGGAGCTTGGCCACAAACGGTTCTAGAAGGAAGGAAGATTTTCACTCGCGACGCTCTAGCAGAGTAGGGTTCTAGACGAGCCTATACGAGCGTGGCTTAAATCCTCCTCTAGTAAAATTCAGGGCTCTTTTGTTTAATCGGTGACTAGAATGCAAAGAAAGAGATATAAATCGAGTCTAGAAGGCTTAATAAATGATACAGAAAAACGACCTCCTGTGATGACGCGGCCGAGTTACTAAGAGTTTCCAACTCTCTATAAGCTTTAATCTACCCAGAACTACTAGCTAGAGCCGGCAACTATCCCTGTCAGTTAATTCTGATTGACAAGTTTGCTAGTTAGAATCGGCAGTTATCCATGGCACTTGATATTTATGACTTGCTCTGAGCGCCTAGGTTGTCATGTGTCTCTCTCTGACTTCTATGCTCTTCCAGGAGGGTCGGCATGTGGCGCATCAGAACAAAGAAAACAGAGTAGGCATTTGTTGCCCCTCCTCCACCCGCGCGCCATTTTCTCCCCCGTCCATCATCCAATTTTAATCTTCTAACGGTCCTCAAATTTACTTTCCAACGGTCCTCAGACTGGCTTCGGCTGCCGAGCATCTGTTTCGGGCGTTGCTAGGCAGGTCACTATGGATGACATTGCGAATACCGAGGAGTTAAAACATGCCGACGATACGGGTACCAAGAAGCTCAGGCCTACTTCTTCTAATGGTGCGAATACCAAAGAGCCGAAGCTTGCCAACGGCGCACAGCGAAAGAATAGGTGAGGGAGATATCTCCTCGAAACGCCTTATAAACATACAGTTATTCTAGTAGATACTAACTTGTACTTTATCTAAGCAGTAGAAATGCTGAAGATCCAACTTCGCTAGCTGACAGAGTAAAGCAGGCACAACACGATCGTGTGGGCGTCTATGTTACGATCGAACGCCGCATCAAGGAATTGGATGACTTCATCAACGAGAGGGAGCGATGCTTGGCCGACCCAGAATCCCGACCCGAACATGCAGTACTGAAAGGAGAGATTGCCGTTGGGATGGAATTCAGTAACCTCTTGAACGAGATAAATGAACAGCTTAGAGAAGTGATACAGAGGAGCGATCTCACAGACTACCTACAAACCCAGCGTATACACGAGCTGGAACGTATGAAGAACAAGCCTAAAGAGGAGAATCAGGGGTCGGATGGACGGAAGCAGATTCAGCGTAGGCGGATTTTTTCTTGAAAACCCCCAGTATTGGAGCGAAGGAGAGATTCTTGCAAGTAATGTGGAGGTTTCATAATGAATTATCGTAATCTACCAACTCCTACACCACGAAATGCCCCACAAACCCGTCCCACTCGTTCTATATACCAAAGTACTCAGAGATGAAACTCAAGCGTACAAAATCCATTTCCGTCATCAGAGGTGAACTCTCGCCGCCCTAAGGTGAGCTGGCTCTGAGCCACGACTGAGCAACTCAGGGCTTTAACTGAGTCGAGCTGAGTTTGGACTGAGCTGCCTTGGTAATAGGCACACTTTAAATCACATAGGTTCTTGTACTATCTAACGTTAGTAACAAGTAACATTTTAATTAATATTATGTCTCTATTGTAGTAAACAACCCTAATATAGGGGAGTATATATAAGATCATTCTGTCATATATTAGAGCTTTTAAGTCACTTCTAGAATCCTATTCTCAACGTCCGATGCACGGCCGCGTCTAATCCCCAGCTACTGCATCAAGTATCGAGGCCGGCATGTCGGTGACGGTTGGAGCACTGCGCTACGCGGCTTGTAGCCACGCGACTGGTCGGTTTAGCTCCCAGAAACTCCTCAGCATATATCGCTGACAGTAGATCAACAGCGCGGCAGTATCCGTTGTTCCGGCGATGACCTCCCTAAGCCGGTCCTTCTCCTTTCTGCTTTTGATACGGCATTGGAACCGGATGCCATTTTGCAACGGGTCCGGCGGTTCCAGGATGTCGATGATGTCTTCACCGATGCCTTCTTGTCTGACACCGTCCTCATTGCCAACTCCGCATCTTCACATGAGCATGAAGAACTTCTTGCCAAGCTGACGGGGAGTTGCCCACTGCCGGGCAAGGTTTGGCAGCTGGAGACGGTCTACCGAGTGAGCTCCCAAGCTTCGCCCGCCGGGATCTCCAGTGGGCCGTACCTTCTTGTCAGAGATGAAGTCTTTGCGGCGTTGAGAATCTATGTCGGCGAGTTCTCCTGCTTTCAAACCACCGTGCTGCCAGACGAGTCCCCGTATAGGTAGGCTGCGCCACGGAGAGAGTAGCAGGTAGGGGTTGACACGCTGCCACTATTTTCAAGAATTTAGATTCGATCGGCCCCAGCGGTAGCGGCAAGTCTGTGGCCGTTCCCAGCCGCCTGGCCACCAACCCTAGCCGCTGAGGCCGCTCGCTGGCGTCCGCATAGCCATCAAGGACAACCTCCAGCTCGCCGGCCTCAAGAGCTCGGTCGGGAACCGGCCTTCCTGGCCACTTACGGCAAGGACGTCGAGACGGCTGTCCACGTGCGCCAGCTTATCGACCTCGGAGCTATCATCGTCGGTAAGACTAAATTGACGGCGTTTGCGTCGGGTGAGAAGCCCTGTGACTGGTTCGACTTTCATTGCCCTTTCAACCCCCGCGGCGACGGCTACCTCATGCCCGGCGGAAGCTCGACGGGCTCGGCGGCTGCGACGACCGCACATGACTGGCTGGACTTTCGTCTCGGCAGTGACAGTGAGTGACCATCAAGCTGTCTTTCGATGTGGACTGACTCTGTATCCAACGGAAGCATCAGGGAGCCGGCCGCACAGTGCGGCGTTTACGGCTTGAGGTGCTCGGCAGACCTCTATGGCCTGAAAGCTGGTCTATATCCTTGCTCCCCGTACGTGACCACTGCGGCTTCGAACAAGGAGCATATTGTTGTTGACTTGCGGCGAGGATCTTTGACGCCATCGGCTACTTTGGGAGGGATCTAGAACAATTTCAGGCCTCCTGCAAACATGCCCTTGGCCCTTCCGTGCAAGAATTTAGCTTCGTATGTGGCGAGTGCATTCCATCCTACAAGACGGCTAGATATTGCTGAACTTATCGGAATCTAGTTCCCAGAGAGCATTCTCGTCCCGGGAGACTTTTATCCAGACGGACCTCCATCTGGACAGGAGCCCGCCAATAGTTTCGTCCGCGCTCTTGAGGAGTTCCTCGGCGTCGAGAGGGAGATCATCAGCATGGCGGACATATAGGCCCGCCATCCACCTCAAGAGGCTGAAGGCAAATCACTCGCCGAATACATTTACAAGGTATAACCCCCCTTCAATCAACAAGCATGCTTGCCTAAATAGCCACAGTCTGGGTACAATCCGTTTTACTACGACATCTACCACGAGTACGACCATTCCGAGAAGACCACCTCAGCAAGTTTGGCAAAAATGCCTACGTCTCGCCCAGCATGCAGTGGAGATGGTAGGCGGCTAGGACCCATCCACAATACCGAGTTTTGACATGACTTAGGGACCGTGGCGCCGAGGTTTTAGCGGAGGAGGCGCAGATCTCGGTCAAGGAGCTCAAAGTGTTCCAGGCCCAGGCCGGTTGACATATTGTTCCACAGCCGAACAGACGATTGACCCGTTCTACTTGCTTGGCCTACATATCACGCTATTTGGGTTAGAGTATTGTGCTTCGTGCAGCCAGAGGCACTCTGATTACATCGTAGAATGTCTCCGGTAGACTAATAGTGAGAAGGTCAAAAAGAACATCTTATTGTCATATACCAGTGCCCATATAACACCGTCCTGCAGGTCAGAATGGCGATAACAGGTTCAAAGACATCAAATCAATAGCTAGTCCCCTTGTGCCACCTACTGTCCTATTTTCCTACTGAGTTGGGGGAGCAGG